CATATGCCTGGAGACGTCACTAGAAAAGTCACTATTAGGAGGCAGCCTGGCTTAGTGGCTAAGCCATTGGATAAGGAATTCTGGGCTCTATCCCCAGCACAGCCATAGGCCTACCACAAGACCTGGGCACCTCCTTTCAGTTCCCTGTATCTTCATTTCCCTCCCCTCTCCCCAGACACGCACATCTGGTTCCTTTATTTTGCCTGAAAACTCATCTAGACATAGGCTGTTCTTAACGAGGTTGCACACAGGGCAGGTCAATACAATTGCAGGCTTAGATGTGGGTTTTAGGTATGCTTGCAATATAAATGATAATGATCTAAAACCCATCTGTGCAAAGGTAATGTTTTGAAGAAAGGCATTTCACTCCACGAACGTAGGACTGGGGACCTGGAGGTGGGGAATGCAGGAGGTCCTGGCAGTCTCTGAGAAATGAGGAAAGCTGTAGCAATGACCATTCCACAGATGAGGCCTTGAAGAACAATTCTCTCTTACACTTGGAAAGACCATCTTTCCATTTCCCTCTGTTTTTTGTGCTTCGTCCTTTTAGTTTTTGCTTTAAAAGTAAAGATTATGTCTTTTTTTTTTTTTTTTTTTTTAAATTAACTCCTCTGGCCTTCTGCCTTATTTCTGTCTCTCAGTCATACTCCTCTTGCCTTATGCTTATACCTTTCCTAATACCTACTTCTCTATCTTTGTGGTCTGCTTTCTCTGATCCTTCCATTCAACCCTCTTAGATGCCTCCCCACCCCCATCATCTCTTCACATTGTGCATGTGCATTAATGGGAAAGAAAGCAAAAATAAGAGCCCACCCATTATAGTTCTTTCCACAATGCCCAGAAGGATCTGTCTTTGAGGCATGTTTTAAAGATCATTGTAAATCAGGAAACAGCAAGGTGGAGTGAAGGGAAACTGGAAAGAGCTCTCAGCTTATGAATATATAATGCAAGAACATGGGCCCTCACTCCAGTTTAATCTTGCCAACAGTTACTAGATCAAGTTCCTTGAACAAAAAGTCATTATTATGACTAACCAGTCTGTATTTATAGAGAAGTAGCGTTAGAAGACAAACAGTTCAAGCAGCGCTCTTGCGCTGGATGTTCTTTGCTTTTTCCTGTATGTGGTCTTTTATTTCAGCATTAATTGTGGTTATAAATCATTCCCAACCTGCTTTGGAATGAGTTTACACAGACTTCATGCTGTTGAAGACATAGTACATTTATACATACAAGATATAAAGCATTCAGCAACTCCAGGGGTAAAAATACCATGTATCAGAAATCAAACCTACAGAGGATTTAAAAAGTAATTATCGCTAAAATATTTCTCTGCTTCTTGCCACAAATGGCTACAGCTACTTCTGCACCATGCAGAGGACACTGGAGTGGGCAAAGTGGTCACTGACAGGTGTCTTTGAGAGGCGCTTGTGCCAGGAGAGGTTTTGTTTTCACAAAGGACGAGGTCTGGAGATAAAAGAGTCTTGTTAAGAGTGAGTGGTGAACAGGATGGAGAAAGAATGTGGACACCTAACCCCTGCCTATGACCATCCAGGCCAGAAAGGATGAGGCCAAAAAAACCTGAAAGGGAGAAGAATGACTTATATTTATTTTTTTGCTGTGTTGGAATATATCAGCCCCACGAGGGGGAATGTTATTTGAACCACCCGGGGTGCACATTCCTCTGAGAGCCAGGGAACGTGGAGCCTTGGCAGGCAGGCCAGATGCCAGGCTGGGACAGAGCGACCCTCTCGCAGCCTTCCGATGTTTTCTGTCAGCTCCAGCAAAGAAGGGGATAAAAAAAAAAACCCAGAGCTTGTTAAATCTCATACAGCTTTCAGATCAAATTTTTATCCTGTTTCAATTTGGAAGTCTTTTGAACAAGCTCAGTGCTTCAAAGCTGAGGCTGCAAATCTCCCAGGGAAGGTTCCTGTGTTTAATAAGCTGTTTTGACTGGAATTCAAAGAGAAAGTAAAGATTTCTGTTGGCCTAGCAATAGAAAATGTGGCCCAGACCTGTAACCCCATATCTGACCAGACAAAAATGTGTACTCTGTTAAAAACTGGAGATTTCTCAGAAACATTGGCATTAAAATAGTTCTGGTTCCCCTGAAGTCAGTAGCAAAAAGTTTCATCATCTCTAATGGAAATACCTGTGACTAATTTTATTTGGAAAGAAGGTGCTGGAAGGTGGTGCCAGAACACCAATATAACAAACCTGTAAGTTATATAGTGGCTCAGCTACTGGGTAAAACAGCTTCCAGTGTATTCTTTTCAACCATTCCACCACAAAGTTAACCCTTGAAGTGCTTCGTATCCTAAAAGCATGCTGAATGCTGACAAGCAAGAAAGCATAGAGCAACTGAAATACCATTAACATCAGCAATGCTTATAATTAGCTTATAATAGGATGGAGCCATGATTCATGTGATTCAGACTTTCTTGAATGACCTGGGTAAAATTTTGGTCTCTCCTGAGGACCCTGTCAAGTTTCTCTGGTGTCTTGCCTCCAATGCCTTCAAGCATGAAACTGCACATCACCCTCTTAACTGCACCAAAAGTCCTGGAAACAGGGGATCAGGCCTTTCTACCACCACTGCAGTGAGACATGTACTCATACCACTTCCCTTGGTATCCACACTTTCCATCCTAGGGCACACAGATACAACAATAAATACTGCATCAAGACAGTGAATATCTCCAGAGGATTTCACTAAACGAAAAGTGAAATCTAACACCAGCAGAGACCCCTTCACTCTGACAGGTCTTATTTTCTTTGTTTTTCTTCCTTTAACACAAATACGATCCACCATCTGTCCAAATTCAAACCTGATGTAGACTTTCAAAAACTACTCCCAGCTAACTGCAGTACTCAAATGGCAGTCTGTCCTTTCCCATCTATTTTTGTTAATGTCTCTATTCATCAAACTTTCCCTCACAATTAAATTCCCATATTTGAAAGTTAAAGTGACAGAAGCGAACAGCCCTGACTGAAGAAAGCATTAGTCCTCACATTTCTGCCAGCATGGATACGAATGAACATATATGCCCTTTGCAGGCAGGAAGGTCCACTGTAAAAGTTTCCAAAATCCACCTGTTTTGATTAGTATGGTTTGCACACAGCAGGCCGGACGCAGTAAAATACAGGGGTTTCATTTCCCCTTCGATTTCAGCTTGTCTTTCCCACTACCTGCCCCATTTCCTGATTCATCTACATCAAAGTTAGCAAAATGAAAACACTCCTGGAAATCTACAAATCAGTAAATAAAATAACTGAGGTTGATCAATTTGCACAGATGAGGAGGACTACTTGCAATTTTCAAAGAACTGGATAATATACATTCTTATTTCTACAGCAGACTCATCAGTTATCCCAGGATTTCAAACCTCCTAATTAAAAAAACAGTTTTTTTAATTTTCCAGTAGGTATTAGTACTAGCGCTGGTTAGAAAATACATTTTTCCCACCTTGGAACATAATGAGGGCAATGATTCAAATACAGAAAAATATGCCCCGAAGTAGCTGAATTTAAATCTAGACTCTCATGGCTCCCGTGAAGCATTATGGTCTCCTCACTAGGGAAGCAAACAAAGTACACAATCTGAAACCAAGTCCTGCCAGAAATTTCAGACAATAGGGCAGAATCAGCCCAAAAGACAAGTCAGTTTTAGCTCTTGTGTTGTTCTGGAGCAGCATTCAGAAAGAAATGTTCTGAGTTAAATGCAGTTCCTTAGTCTAAAGGCAGGAAAAATTCTCTGTTGAAAGCTCATATCTCTGTGGTTTGGGCTTTTTTTTCCTTGTCAAAGACCAGTCCTACTTAAAAAAAGATTTTGATAAAAACCTTCAGACAATTAGCTACATGTAATAACAGATAAACCCATCACTTTATCATAAGGACAACTGAGACACAGAAATAAGTAGTGGTTACAGATTAACTTTGTGGTAGACCTGTGGACTACATCTCCAGCATTTACCCTGAGCAGCCACCAGTGATCAGTTTGATCCTGATCTCTTGATTCCAAGTTTGGCATCAAAATAAATATTTTGGCCAGTGGAATTTACTTTTGTTTCATTCAAAAAATTTGTCTCCATTCCTTCATAAGATGACAGTATCAAAAGCAAGCAAACCAAAGGGATATAATCTAAGTCTCCCTTAAATTTGAGTAACACAGGAGCAGCTTATATCTAAGTTAAACACAGTATAAAATGGAGTAAGTGGAATCAGAATCTAGCAAAAGATGCAAAAGTAGAAAAACTACCAACACAAGAAATTTTTCATAGGGTTATTTGGTTTTTTGTATTGGAGATTGGGGAATATCAAGGTGCTAAGACAATGTCAATGCTTTGCTAGGGCAGCGATTCTTTCCCTGTGTGTTTGCGCAGTGCCTTGAACAAGGGAGTTCCAGTCTCAGCTGAAGTCTATAGTCATTAAAGCAATGGTAGTGCTAACAGTTGTGTACCAGCCTCTACATAAGAAATTGATGTGCTCCAAAGGGCTCATAATCTAAGTGAAGAACTCAAAGCATGGGAGGAAACAATCCTTATTTATACCATCTACAGGAGGAAGATGGAGGTCCAGAAATCTGAACAACGTCACATACTGCCAACAACTGAATCAAGGTTTCCTCAGTCCCCATCTAACACTTCAAATGGAGGGCCATCTTCTCTCTCAAGGACGGAATCATAAGCATAAAAAGCATGCCTTTGATGCACTAACGAATCACCTGCCATCAGATGGTTCTTTATCTCATAAAAACATTATTTCTCTCATAAAAGTGGGTTTCCTGATTAAATAATAGGACTAAACCGTATCTTAGCTTGCATTGAATAATGACTATGTGAAATGTACAGCTCACATCCTTCAAAAAAAAAAGCAGCAGAACTTCAAAATACTGGACTTGAGTGATTCAATAACTAAAGGACAATTGCAGGACAATTGTTTCTGCAATGTCAGACAAGATTTAATACAAATAAAAATATAGAATAAAGATTTCTACTACTTACCAGCACACTGATTGTTTTCATCCAACTGGTAACCAAATCGACAGATCAGAGGTCTTGTAACAGTAGGGTAGTTAGGAACGGGGCCTGGTGCTGGGGGCGGTGGATAAATATTTGAATAAGGATTCAGATATGGTGATCGATACACTGGGTTTGTTCGGGGTACGCATAAATAGCCACCATTCTGATTGACACACACCATATCTCCTCTGCAGGCCTCAGGAATAGTCCGACATTCATCAATATCTGGAAAGAAATTGCAAAAGTTAAATGAGTGATTGCTTCTTAATGGGACCTATCCAAAAAATAGTTAACACATTTGTCTCAAGGCTTCACTAAAAAATTTGATACTGTCTTTGAACGGAAAAGCTAATCTTTTCTTGTGGAGCCTCACTTTGAAGTTAGAACATACTAAAACAGGAAACATCCCATATATTCAACATATCCTGTGTTCTACTTGTTTTGCTTCATTATTAGAGGGTAGAGGGAGAGGGGAAAGCCTGCTTTGTTATTCCATAAATGTTCAGTTTAAACACTGATTTACACATGGCTACGGCATGCTACTGCCTGTTCCTGCTAGAGGGTCTGTCCAAACCACAACACGCAGATCAGGATTTCAAACATTGGTGGTTTGGTTTGCCCAGCTGTGAAACTTGGATCCCGATTTGGAACTCCCGAGGTCCCTCCCACAGAAAAAGTTAGGGATATTCAGATCTGGGGACATGGTTCAGGCCTCTTTCTTGCTCCGATTGAGATCATTGCTGAATTAAATTTAGAAAGATACAAATGGTTTAGCCAAACTGAGCATTCATCTGGTTCTCAGGGCACAGAAGCAGTGGACTGCTATGACAGAGAGAGCAATCTTTTGCTGATTTTTCCCTTATTTTTTGAGTGACTTTAATGCATGCAGAAGATGCTGCCCTGGAGACTGAATGCCTTTGATAAAAAGATGCCCTAGGGCAAAGTGCATGTTTCCCTATATTGCCTCAACAATTTACTTGGAGTTTCAACATGCTCAGCAGTGGTAGACTTTATCTGAGCCTCCAGGTGGAGGCTGCCAACAAAGACAGTAAATACTAGAGTCTGGAGGAGGAGAAGAAGGAGAAGGAGGGTGAACAACCCTTGCCATTTGGCAACTAGACTGAGCTGCCTTCAAAATGCATCACTGCTATTTGAGAAGCACTGACAGCCAGTTAGTATCTCAACGATGTCAAAGATTGGTATATACTTGTGCTATGTAAACACACACACACACACACATATTTATATATATACATATAAATTTTTGTATATACATATACACAAACACACATATTTGTCACACAGCAAGAACTTTTCAACTAAAACATACTAACAGCAGCACAATGTTAACTCAATAAAGTCAGGATTTCTGAACCCCAATTGAAATGTGTTGATTTAATGAAAGTCCTACCTAAGCATTGCCCAGAGGCACGATCCAGGTCAAACCCATTAGTGCATTGTTGCTAGAATGAGAAAACAAAGGACACTCAGTGACTGTGAAATGAGAGGGTTGCAAGAGTCAAATGCTCATCTGGATTATTATGCTTAGTACAATTGTTCAGCACTCTACAGTACACCAAGATAAAGTCCCTTCCCCAAAAGAAAGTCAGCAACGCATGAAGCTGGGGCCTCAGCACATCTGCCAGCCCCTTAACTCAGAAGGTAGTTCCCTCAGGTGGTGACAGTGTCAGGCTGTTCCTCTCCCAGGGTGTAACCAAAGCATAATATGTGATGGGCTCCATACCAGGTTTTAACACAGAAGTTACATTCTTCTGTTTGGGGGTCTTGTGTTTGCCAGAACAGGGGGGTTCAGTTAAAAGGTACTAGCTAACCTCTCTAACTGGCTCTAAAACTCTGCAGATAGACCATTCAGTACCTACGTCTCAATATGTGAGGCATCTGACTGAACTGAAGCCACAGTTAAAACATAACTAGCTTAATAAAAGCAAGGCTTTTTGTTTACACCAAACATTTTGATTTTTAGAGGATAAATCTTTAGATGACACATGTTCTAAGCATGCAAGGTTACTGGAAGCCTTGTTCCTTCCTATCTTGTGGTGCTGGTCTTTATCAGGGTTTCAACCTTGAGTCTTCAGCACCTCATTGGTGACCTGCAGTATTTCTAAACCAGTAAGAGTCCTGGTGATGATTGTGTCGAAGCCCATTAAAATGATTCCCTGCTCTCCCTAGTTTTTAACTGGGCCTCCAGCTGTTGAGGAATGGGCCAAGCAGTTGACACAACCACAGGATCCTGCCAGTAAATAGGTTATACTAAGGAATGTAAGCAAGAGATATCCAGAAAACAGGAACCACTGAAGTAACCAGAGGGCAGAGGGATGGAGTGTCTTCAAGATTCTTCCTTTTTTGTTGTTGTTAAATGATAAAGATACTTATTTTTGGACTTTGTGGAAGAAATCAGTGGAACAGTAAAGTACTTGGTTCATGTTTGGAAAAGTAGTAAGTTGTAGATGGGAGACAAGGGGTTAGAGGACTAAGGCAGTGGAAGTGGGCCATTGCAGGAACTAGGGAGGGGACATGAAGTGAAACACATGGCACTGTTTGGACTGCATCTGCCACTTGCACATATGAATACACAAAACCACTGCTAAAAGTGTCAAACAAGTATGAAGGAATTCTGCCTTCATTTATTTTGGCATTCTGAGATGTTTTGGTATCATGTTGTGGAAAGCCAAAATATTCTGATGAGAAAATGTATAATCAGCCTCATGTTTTAAAGAATGTACGTAGTCTACCTTTTGTTCTCTTTGCTGTGCTGTGGTGTGTAGACTACACCTAGGTTAATAGGAAAAGTTAAGATAGTGTTTAACAAAATTTTTGGAGGGGGGACAGTAAGCAATCGTTCAGAAGCACTGAAACTATTGTAGAACTGGTTTCAACAACTTTCTAGAACTTTATTCTAGAAAAGCTTCCAATATTGTCAGACTGACCAGTTTCAGTATCTTCAGAAAGAATTGCTTTTTGCTTAGACTTCAAAAATCAATTTATGGTACAAGTTGTTTTTATAAAAATCACAATGGAAACAATATTTTTTAAATTATAAAAACAAACCCTTAAACACATCTCAAAAATTCTCCAGGGGCATGAAAAGCATTTCCCATACAGATCCAATGTTCACAAAAATATCAATAAGCATGCCATGTGCAGGAAATTTTCAATGTAATAGAAAAAAAAACCCAACTAAATTTCAGAGACTTTTGGCAAAGGTATTTAGAAACACAGCTCTGCACACTAAGTATATCTGGAGTATCAACTAGGAATCCAATCTTAACATGCCTTTGGGAACCATTTTTCCTAATTTAAAGTCCAAATGGAGCCCAAGAACACAAAGAACTAATGCTTCTGCTATTTCAAGAGCTGGACTGCTTTACTTCCATCCACCCTCAAAAGCCCTGCCTCTTGAACAAAAATGTTTCGGGCATAAATTAAAATGAAAACTAGGATACAGTCATTCAGGATCACGGTCCAAAATTAAACAGTCGTAAGACAAGATCCTGCTATACACAGAAAATGCCTATTTATATGAATAAGTTTTCCAAGAGGGGATGTTCCCCACCACAGAACTGAGCTGTCCCTGCTCTCATGGGATGGCTTTTCTTATTTCCTTTTCCAGAATTGTTCAGTTCAGAGGCAGAATCAAGTTTTCAGTGAGGTCCAGGTTTCTACAGGGATATTTTGCTGAGCTGGCAAGGATGAGTCAATAAGCTCAGTCCATGTTCAACTCCAGAATCCTGCTGGCTCCAAGTTCTCCCCTCTAAACTCTTAGACCACACAGCTTCCTTTTCATGTAAACCCCAGACCACAGAGCTTCCTATTCACCTGCTAGCCAGTTAAATCTCATGCCATATAGCGCTTCAGTACAAAACAGTACATAGATCTCTGCGTGCACTGCTCACCTGTGCTTTTCCAGGGCTTGAAAGGCAGATGGTCAGTGTGAAAGCAGTCAGTATCCTGTAATGTGCATAGAAAATAGGCTGAAAACCTTCTGATATGCAGGCTCATTACATAGCATTAAATACACATGGGGAAGCTAATTTCTAGTGACACTTTGGTGTATTCCACAGAGTTTTGCTAATATGAATTTGGCCTCTGGAGAAGGAATAATACAACTGTGGGCTCAAAATCACTAATTTTACTATGGTTTTATGCAACTGGGATCAGAATCAGACTGTACATGTCTATTAACTAACCTACTTTTTATGACATCCCGTGCAACAGCTGTTTAATGAACAAGTGTGCAATATTCGATAAAGCATTTTTGCCCCTCTCTGACACATTCCTTTTGAGAATATAAAAGTTTTTCTTGCACATTATGCACATTTTACAGATGGGTAAACCAGAGCACAGGCCCTGCCTAAGCTCAGAGTGCAACGCATTGGCAGGGCTGCAGACATGTCATGCAGGAGGTCCTGAATCCGAGCCAGTTGCTCTAACCGCTAAACCGCATTTCATCCCCAGGAGACTATATTTGAGATTAATCCATTTTCTTAGGGCCAGATTCTGTCCCTTTACTCAATCTTGAGTAATATGTTGCTCTGCAAGTAGACACACTTGCAGAGTGTCATCAGCTACTACAAGTTGCTATCTTCAATAGAGCCTTCCCCAGTTACATCATCTTAGCATCTAGAGGGACTTACTGGGTCTCTTCCCTGCAAGTGAAAGAAGAGGATCCCTTGCTAATAGAGCTTTATGGCTATTTTTGGAACTCCTTACCTGGAGCATAAAAAGTCTGGTCATCTAAGTATTTACTAACAGACAGAAAACCAGGAAAGGACAGTAAGAAATGATTTTTTTCTATGTACTATGGATTTCAGTGTTTTGCCACTGCCTTATATAAAACTCCCTCTCAATACAATTAGACCCACCTCTTGCTTATCTTGGATTCTAGTTCTGAACGGCAATTGTATACAATACATTCCCACAAAGCCAGTACAGGAAGCAAGGGATATTTTAGGTAGCCTTAGTTCTGCTACCCAAACAAGCTGCCAACTTTCTCTCTTAGAGCTGTCTTTGATTTCCAGTACAAACTGAGCTGCTGAACAAGACCTACGAATGCATCAGACAAAACCACACACAAGCAGTGACCGACACATTTGGACAAATTTGTTTTACATGAGGAGAAAGGCACAAGTTCTGAAAAGTAAACATAAACCCTAAAATGGTTGTTCATAGTGCTGCGGAGACAGATTGTGCTTGTTGGCAGCTTTTGAGTGACAAGGGAACGCAAATTCTGCACAGACTTTTCCTTAGAGTTGGATGCAAAGAACTCAAAGTACAATGTATATCCATTTAGGTTTGCACTTCATTTATTGATTCCTCAAATCTTTTTGAAGAGATTTTAAAGCATGCCCTGATATAAAGATTGCATACTTACTTTGCATATAGCAAGAACAGCTCTAGAAGGAAATAGAACAGGTTATAGCTGAACGTCAACATACCTAGCAACTGGGCTACGCTCTACATTATTGCAGAGCAGTGCACGCTAACAAAATCCCCTATAAAACTGGTCAGACAAAACTCATACGTTTCTAGACAGTCTTTAGTTTCCGTTGTTACAAGATGATATATTCTTTCCTTTGGGGGGGGGGGGGGGGGGGGGCTGACCTTACTGCCTCATACATGTTCTGCCTGCAACCACCATCTCAATTTGCTCATTACTTTAGATGTCAAATCCCCTCAAGAAATATTAATAGACATACAGCACAACCTATCAACACTGTATGCAGCTGGTCATAGTAGCTCGCCCAGCAGGCAAAATATTTTAAACTACTAATTAACTTCTGCAATAGTAACTAATTAGCTTCAAATCAATCACTGTAGCCAGCAGGATCGTTTGCTGTTGCAATTCAGCACTCCCGCGGATGCCGGGGTTCCTAAAGCGCAGAGTATAAGCACAGATCAAGAAGGAACTCGTCAGAGACAGCACAGCTTTAATAACAGACAGATCGTCTTTCCCCACCTCTGACCATTGAGATCCTGTCTCTTTGCAAATGGCTTTAGCAAGTGGATTGGCATACCGAATCCCTACCACAGATATTTTCCACAAGTAGGTTTCCCTTCAGTAAGTAAAGAAGTTTCATGCATACCACTTACCTTTTTAATCCTTGCATGTCCAAAACCGTTGGGGAAAGGTGGAAAAAAACCAGAGCCTGTGCTGATGAATAACTAGAAAGTTTTTCCAAACATTACCCTCTGCTAACACTTCAGTTCCTCAGTCATTTATAGTCCAAAGAATGAAATAGCAAGTAATGGAGAAGATCGGGAGCCGTCTGTACCTCCTCAGACACTGGAGAGAATACAGAGAAAGCACCTGGTTTTGCTTAGTTCTCTTCTGTAATTCAGCATTAAACCAATTGGAGGAGGAATGTTAAAAATGAACACTTCATTTTCTAAGTATGTTAAACAATGCAAATGGGGGCCTCAGCCTGGGACAGCTGGTTTAGATTACAAAGCTCACCAACTGGCTAGACTCCTCACAACAACCTCGAGGAGCCTGCCAGGATAAAACACTAACAGCTTGAAGGAAAGCCTCTCCCGCTGCAAACTTCACAGTTAAATGTGCCTCAGAGCAGAGAGCACCGTTATTGGACAGAAACCCTTATCAAGGGACTGGAGAAGGGAAGGGATTGTTTTCCTTGCTCTGAGAACAAAAAAAAAGTCAGGCTTTTTGGAGGCCCTCTAGCCGGTGTCTCGGACGATGAATATGCAACACTCGCTGCTTCGTGCCAATGGCGTACTGATGAAAGGTCTGACCCTCTGGGAGGTGGATAACTTGAATTCATGACAATCGCAGCTACAGGAACTATATTGCTTAGGGATTATTTGAAAACAGGAATAAACAAATTAAACATTCAAAGGAAAACAAATGTCTTGTCTACAAACACTGGCCCTTTTTAAACTGACCCCACGCTTAAGGGAGCAGTTTGTGAAATGAAATATTTCTCAGGAAAAACGTGTCCTGCAGATCTCCAGTTATGATTGAAGAGGAAGGAAATAAAGTACTTTTTCAGGTGTTCTGCAACTTTGCCACAGGCAGAGCTTTACTAGGTCAAGCAGAACATTTATGAGACGTGAGAGGTAAGCAATCAGATACTGCAAAGGTTATGCTAGATCCAAAGATGAACACTGAAATTAAAGACATAGACATTAAATTACTACTTTGAATTTCTGTAGAGTCTTCCATTTGAGGAAGCCCGTTATTCCTAAGGAACATGAAATGTCTGATGAGATAAAAATCTATCATACATGTCTCTGTAATGGATTGAGAAACAGAGTTATAACAGATATTCATAAAACTGGCCTCTAAGCATGGATATCCAGTTTCAGAGGTACAAAGACTGAACTGCTTCAGGATTGCTGAGCACCCACAAGGCATATTGGTGCCAATGGGAAGTGCAAGAGCTCTGTACCTCTCTAACTGGCTATAATTGTCCAAATTATTTTTCAAAAACGACAGCACCAGCCGCTCAGTGCCATTTCTGACAGTTTGTCTCTTGGTGACTTGCTTACATCACTTGCATTGCATGGAAAATTAAACACTCTCCTAGAATTATTCAAACAGTGTCAATACATTTGCAGATAAACAAGAACAAGTTAACTTATTTTAAATAGATGTCCCAAAAGCTTAACAAAAACTCACACAAGAGACTTCTGAAGAAGCTCGCTGGGCATGTTGTGAGAGGAAAGTTTTGTCATGGGTCAGAAAACAGGCAAGAGATGGAAAGCAAAGACTGGCCAAATTTTCATTGTGGCAAAAGGTTAACAGTGAGTATTCTCATCACTCCGTAAGTCCAGTGTTTCTCAATGCTCTCAATGATCTGGAGAGCTAACAAGTCTAAAAGTAGCAGTGCTTACTGTATGTTAGGTGTGTGAACATCTACTGAAACTATGAGAAACAGCTCTACAGCAAAGCAGATGCTCTGAGTATCCATTTGTGTGGATGAAGAGCTTGCTTCATATACTTGTTGATCCTTCACTTGCTGCTACACTGAATTTTTCTCATCATCATATGGCAAAATCATTGTATGCATGCCAGTATCACTGTACAAATGCAGCACCAGTCTGCTCCCAAAGAATTGCCTCAGACTACAAGAGTTCTGATTCATGAGCCAACTGGCAGAGGTGCTCCAGTGCTGGAGACAGGAGGTGGATCCAGACCTGACCACCTAAGGGGCTCCCTTAAGAAGGAGCACTGTACAAATGTTTTGATTTTTCCTGTCTCCATCTGACAGCTGGAGTGGATAAAAAGCAGAGTATAAAAAGTGTACCAAACCACAACTTGGGCTAGTTTACAGTGTGGTGACTTTTTTTTTCCTAAATAAAAGGATTTGATGTTATGGTTAAGTGGAATTTCTGCAGTACCTTTCTGTAACTACCATAACCCACAAAATAATGAGATGCAGCCACACCCTTCTCACAACTCTCTTTGATATGAAGAGTTGCATAAAGGAAGATGTTTGTGGTACATAAACCCCCTTTTGTTCACCCTACAAAAACATGGACAATTCAGTATACCTTTCAACACCATGTGCTGACACCTTCACCATTTATGTTTAAGATGGTGGCTAAACTTCAGGTCTAGCAGCACTCTCATTTCAGTGGTCTCAACTATCCCCTTTTGTCATAAAATCCACTACTTTATTTAGACTACCTTGACATTTTCTTTGTCTTCATGAGGAGGTGCAGAACAGTCCCCAGTATAAAATGGGGCTCTGTTAAGTAACTATGTTCTTAAAGTTTGCTTAGTGCATAGCCAGGGTTGAAACTATATCTCTAATTATGTTTAAGACTTGGATTTCAAAAATTGTGTAATACATAATCATAAGGGGCACATAAACTATGTCATGTAACCTTGACTCTACCCTCCTTGGAGGAGACAACCAAATGTATGAATTGCGCCATGCTCCTGTCGATAATGCACAACACTGGGACCCTCAGCACGGAAGAACATAATCTAATGGCTTTTGAATGCTAAGACAAAAGCTGTATATAGGTCAGGGAACTCAGTAAGACTTAATTACACTCAGCACTCCTGAACAAAAAATCTGCCTCACAAAAACAAGTCCTCATCTACTAACTTTTACAACACTTCATCTTTTTTAATCCTGATATTATACTTACACGTCTCCAGAAGTAAATCTGTCAAACACCCTTCTTAGATGTTCTTATCATTTTTTAAAGTCCACCCTCTCTGAACATTCTCAAGGACATTGTCAAACTGCTGGAGCAGAGTCAAATCACACAGATCTGTATGGTGGTAGTGTGACAGCCCAAAGTCATTCTAAGTGACAAGTCTTAGGCATCCTTTACACAGCCGTACTGACCTGAATTCACTAAAGGAATTTGCCAATAACTGACACTTTAAGGCCCTATATGTCCAAGTGTTAGATGCTTAAAACATCCATTTTGCTCCTACCAAATCTTATGGAACCAAATTTTCTACCAACAAAACTGGTAAAACACTTAGAGCACAACTGCTGGGCATTTGCAGGAACAATTGCATTTTGATAGCACCTAAGCTCCATGAGATTCGCAAGTTGGGCTTCTACCTGACTGTGGAGATTGATCCAAGTGTTCTTGGAGACTGCCAAATAAGCAAGCTTTTGAAATTGTCACACGTTGATATAACACATGACAGGTGGTGATTTGAAATATATACATTTCACCCTACTGCCACATGAATAGCTCTAAGCACGTGGGAAACTTGGTCTCAAACCCTAAATCTGCCTGAAAAAGAGTAGGGCTTGTTTCTTCCACTTCCCAGGAAAGAACCTCAATTGCAAACTCCTGGTGTTTGGGGAGGGTTCCCTCTCCTTTTTCAAAGATGGACTACCTTATGTTATCAGCTGAGGTCTGCTTCATTCAGTGTCTGAATTGTAATTGCCGTCTCATAACATGAACGATGCAATAACCTGTTCCAGATGGCTCAGGCCAGAAGCTCAAAGCACAGACCCACACATATTTTCCTTTCGTAGCCAAACATAACACAAGCAAGAATTAACAGTGCAAATTAACATAATAAGTAATTGTAAAAACATCACTAGTGCTAACTAAAATGTACTGGGAACATAGAGTCTCTGAGATTTCATGTCGCAGCTCACACTACTGTTTTTGGGAAGGAGAAAGTGTAACAGTTTCTGTTGTGCTGCTGCCTTTTGGGGCTCAGTTGCCTCAACATGGTACAGTTACTATCTGTGTGAGATATCCGTGGAAAAAAGAGCCAATACAGCATCCCTTCCTTCCCTCCTGTATGGGGATGTCACCCATCTGGCTGAAGCATGTGTTCCTTTGGGATGACAATACCACTGATGGTATCACTGCTTCCCAAGAACAGTAAGCAGAGTGCCATTGTAATGTTGTAGCAGATGGTCTCAGAGCATCCTACCAGGCAGACCACAGGATTTAAAGTTTTTGTTTTACTTTATCTAACTCTACATCTTATAGATGTTACTATCTTTACAGGTCTGTGGTCACTCTGATACTGGTTTCTAACAGCACAGATTCTTTTAGGAAAAAAGTTATCAGTGGAAAACCCAGGCACCACTGGATCCATTCTCCAATGTAACAACACTAAACATGGACTAGTATCTGACTCCACTTTATTGCTTTGAAAACATATTAATCATCCCATTAAATGAGGAATAGTAGAATCTAGCAGGTACGTACCAAAACCCAAACAGCTTAAACTCATGCCCAATGAACTGCATCTGCTGTAAGACAAAACTATTTCAGGTATATTACCTTTAGTGAGATCAAGTTTGATGTTCATGACGACCTGTTTAGCTGTAGTGTTTTGTAGGAAGGTCTAGGAAGGCCACCTGAGGCAAAAAAGAGCAATATTCTTGGAAGAATGCTTCAGTATGGTTCAGGGTTTTTTTTTCCCCCAACAAAAGTAAGGTAAGCAAGCAAACTAAAAGCTTTTTATAACTTTCCCAGGAAAAATACAGAATCTTTCACAGCATTTTTGGTGCATGCAACAACTCTCAGCAGGTTCCTTCCTATTACTATTAATTTGCAACAGTATACAACATTATTCTTGATTTTTCAATACTTAAATGACCAGCATTTATGCTTTTAAAACTACTTTCCTGTAAAAAGTGTATAGAACATCATCCTGTACTTAAAGACAAAAGATCGTCTCGAGAACTTGCACCTCTTCTTTGAGTTATTCTGAGTACCTGAGAACATGATGCCCTAGCCACTGTTAACACTTTTACCTTTTTTTCTGTTGCATCTCATCCTTGAGCACAGCTCTGGTAACTGCAATTCACATTTTGCCTGAAACTAGACAGATATTTTAGTTTATTTTACAAGATTGACACGTACATAAGCTAGGCTGCGGTCTTTTCTCCTCTGCATTTTTGTCAAATCATAGAATGGTTTGGGTTAGAAGGGACCTTAAAGGTCATCTAGTTCCAATCCCCTGCCATGGGCAGGGACACCTTCCACTAGATTGGGTTGCTCAAAGCCTGTTTTGGGTTTGTGTAGCGGGGTTTTTGGTAATGGGGGAGCAGCTACAGGGGTAGCTCCTGTGAGAAGCT